ACGGGCGTAACCCAGGGGGGGGGGGTGTCCCGAATTTTTTTATTTATTTTTTTATATATAAGGCACTTAAATGCTAATTTCTAAAGACTTATGGGAAAAGACTGTATTACTTAGTTTGTTTCTAAGCAGTGATTAAATTGGGATTTATTATGTGGGCTCATAGGGGTATGCTCCCCCGGGAATTTTTTTTTAAAAATAAACCATTAAATGGCACTTTCTGGAGAGTTTTGTGCAAAGAAATTGAGAAAATGAGTCTTACATGATATGTGAAAAACTGCAAGGTTAAGAGCATATACTTTGCATTGTTGAAGTATCAACAGGTATTAGGACATTTAGCATTTACATTACTGTTAATCAGTCATGTAATAAAAATTAAAAACTCAAATAAATGGTTGATTTAATTTCCATTAATCTATCCTTGTGGAAAGGTTCCTTGGTAGCTAAAAGTAGGTCTAGTGTGACGAGGGCGGTATGATTTTTAGTCTAACTAAATCCAGATAGCACGGACTACGCCACCCTGGGAATTACACCCAAGGAAATATAAAAAGGACCCAGGTTCGTTGGCGCAGAGAAAAGACAGAGTCGCTTCATCCAATGAATGAATGGTTTTATTTAAAAGGAAAACATCCCACTAGCACCATTTGTTCGTAATATAAATCACTGGCAAGTTTATTATAACAATACAGAATATATCAAATGTTAAAAGAACATTCCTCCAGACCTCGCTGATCCTTAAATACTGAATCACATTAAACCAAACATAACAAACAAAACAATGTATGTACCGTCCCCACAAAATAAAAAACAAAGAAAATAATTACTACAAAAAGAATATAACTGCAAGGCTAAAGCTTACGTTAGGGGTGGCAAGCTAGCTGTAAACAATTGTGCTCTCAACCATTTATGTGTGCACGGCAAACTACATATGAAGAGGTGCTCAAACCCTGGTGCTTCAACCTCACGGCAAATGTGTTCACCCAGGTGACTAGCCTCCCCCTCGGCGCACTCAGCCTTGACTCGAAACAAAAAAAAAAAGAAACAAAAAGCAAGATTAGTAGAGAAGATACAAATACACAATAATCACAGCAATCACATCAGACACACATATAATGGTTGACCAGATCAGGTGGTGCACAAATGATAAATAATCTGTCCTACCTCATCGGCAGTGAGGACCCCAAAATACTCAGTGGATGACCGTTAGATAGACACTAATATAACACCACACGGCACTAAGGCCCAAGTCACACTGATCAGTCCAACTCTATTACAGAAATAGAAAAATAAACCAAACCATAAAATGAACTCCAAAAACACACAGCGACTATTAAAGCCACGAAAACCTAACAAAATAATGGTTCACGAAAAAGAAAGGGAATAATCTAGTCTAAGAAAAACAGCAGCACGACCTGAATTAAACCACGTGGTACACTGCAAAACAAAACATAACAATCAGACGAGGATCTACTCCAATCAACAAATACAAAACATTCCTAAATCATACATACCACACGAGAATCACACACACATCACGGATCACGATGTCAGGATGCACTCACGAATGTTCCACTAAAACACACAATAACCCCCATTAAACTTGACTAACCCCATACAACCCACATCACAACAGATTGTGATCGCCGACATACCTCAAAGCTTTCTATGAGTGCTCGACGCAACTCCCAGGGTACGCAGCCGAACCGGTTACAGCGATCCTTCAAAAGATAAAACAGTCTAAACACTTTAGAACCACACAAAGTTGTGCATAACCTCCGTCGCTTACCTGGACTATAGTGAAACCGGAAGAGGGGCGGGTGTGACCAAGCCTACATTCTAGGGCTTCCTGTTTGAACCTTTAAATACGCTGGCCCCGATTACCTCATCCACCCATTCCCATATAAGGGCAATGACGTCAACAAAGGAAAGTGAAAATCCTCTACTGCTACATTCCTTCCCCCCCCTCTTTTATCGGCGCCCCGACGATAAGTCAACTCAAATCTGAACATTAGAGACAAACTAACGACTCGATGTCACCAGGCTAATGCCAGGGCCTAAACAAAGCCGGAACAGCCTGAGACACAACCCTAGAAGAGCAAACAGTCCCACCAGCGACCCCCTGTGCAGTCTGCGGAAGATGGTACAAATTAGAGTGTTGCCCGGCAGTCGAGCGAGCCGTCCGTCGTAAAGATGGTCGGGTCTCCTCAGGCAAGGTTGGACCTAGATCAATCAGGGCAGTCGGAGGGGTCAACGGCCTTGCCTCCTGGGCATCTGGAGTAACCAGAGGCGACCTGGCGACCTCTGGTAAGGTTGAAAGATTACGGGAATATCTCATACGGTCAGCACTTGAACTGGGACCAACCGAACTGGTAGGTACTACAAGCCACAAATCATCATTAACATCCTCTTCGGGTGGTCCAACTGTCACTGATGGTCGATCCTGGGGGATGTCCTGGGGCTCTGGCTGCAATTGGGCTTTCAGCATCGTCCGATGTACATGTCGTACCTTCCCCAGATCATTCACAGGTGCAATTGAGTACACCACTCCCTTCTCTTTGGGTGCCTTCAATACCTGATAGACAACAGAGCTCCAAAGGTCTTGAATTTTGTTACGTCCCCTTACACCCACGTTACGCAGGTAAACTCGCTGACCCTCAGACAGTGGCCTTTCCTTCACCCTCTTATCATGATAGTCCTTGCGGCGTGCAGCAGCAGTTGCTAGTCTCCCTCTAGCACCCTCAAAGGCGACCTGCAGTCGGGCCTCATGTTCTCGAACCCAGTCATGTACCGTACCAGCCTCTGACTCACGCACTCTGCCCAACAAGAAGTCTACCGGTAGCTGGGGATCTTGACCAAACATCAGAAAGTGTGGAGACTCCCCAGTCGACTGATGTGGGGTAGTATTGTAACAGAAGACTAACTGCGGAAGGCAGGAGGACCAGTCTCTCTTTCTTGAGGCAGGCAGGGTGCGCAGCAAATTATGCATTGTCCTATTGAAACGCTCACATTGACCGTTGCCAGCAGGATGGTAAGGTGTGGTACGTGACCGTGTAATTCCATACAAACAGCAGAGCTGTCGAATCAAGTTGCCCTCAAAACTACGACCCTGGTCGGAGTGGATACGACTAGGCACCCCGAACTTGCAGAACCACTCCGTCACGAGAACCTGAGCCACTGTAGAGGCCCTCTGGTCCCGGGTAGGTATAGCCACTGTAAACTTACTGAAAATGTATGTCACAACAAGCACATTTTCCAGGCCATTGTGTGAAGGCTCCAAGACGGTAAAGTCCATGGCCAAAATCTCGTTGGGCCGTGAAGCCAAAAGATGTCCCATGAAACTAGGAGTAGCAGGATTCGTATGCTTCGCCACTTGACACCTTTCGCATTCTTGGCACCAGCGCTTCACTTCCACAGCCATTCCCGGCCAAAAGCAGCGTAGACGGACCAACTCCATAGTCCGTTCCACCCCCTGATGCCCGTGGTCATGGTGTAACTGGGTGAGTACATCTTGCTTTAACACTGCTGGTAGAACTACTTGCAATACCTCCTCACCCCCATTAGGTCGAAGGGTTCGACGGTATAATACCCCATCCATCTCCACCAGTCGATCCCAGTGCCGTAGTAACGCCAATGACTGGGTGAATAGTGCTTGACGCATCACTGAACTAGGGTACATCTTCTGCTTGCGAAGAGTCCAAATAGCTTGAATATCTGGGTCTGACCACTGTAGAGAACATATATCAGAGGCGGAATGATGGGGTAATGCAAAGATGGCTGTTTGGATTACCTGAGATGGTAGTACAACTCCAGTCTGCTGCAGAGATTCCGGAACGGAGGTGGTGGTATTCTCTGGTACATACTGCCGGGATAAAGCATCAGCGTTCCTATTTACTCTGCCAGACCGGTATCGAATTTCATAATCGAAACATGACAGTTGGGCCACCCATCGCTGCTCTGTTGCTCCCAACTTAGCGGAGGCAAGATGACTCAAAGGATTGTTGTCGGTGTAAATGATGCACTTTTGTCCCAAGAGATACTCACGAAACTTCTCAGTAACTGCCCACTTCAAGGCCAGGAACTCTAATTTCATTGAACTGTAATTAAGCATATTACGTTCAGGGGGGCGAAGACCACGACTTGCATAGGCTATAGGCCGGACTTTTCCGTCTTGTTCCTGTGATAGAACTGCCCCCAAGCCACTATGGCTAGCATCAACTTCCAGGATGAAAGGTAATGCGAAATTGGCATAAGCCAATACTGGAGTGGAGGTGAGTTTAGCTTTCAGTCCTTCAAAGCTCTGCTCACAGGCCTCTGTCCAGGCCGCAGCGAAGTCCCGTCCGGTCCTTTTCCGAGCCTTCGTACCAACCAACTCCGCTACTAACTTATGTAGGGGTGCGGCCATTTTCGCAAAGCCCTCCACAAAGCGACGGTAGTAGCTGGTGAAGCCAAGGAACGAACGCAGCTCCGCCACCTGGGTTGGACGTCGCCACTGGGCTACCGCTTCAATTTTCCCAGGATCCGTGGAGACGCCAGCGCTGGAGATCACATGTCCCAAATAGCCAACCTCCTGCTTAAAGAAGGTACATTTCTCCAGCTTGGCTTTGAGTCCTTCCTGTCCCAGTCGGCTTAACACTCCCTCTAATCGCTCCAGATGCTGTGAAATGGAAGAAGAGAAGACCACAACATCATCCAGGTAAAGTAACAGAGATTGGCAATGCTGTTCCCCAAACAAACGTTGCATGAGGCGCTGGAATGTGCTTGGGGCGTTGCAAAGGCCGAAAGGCATACGGTTAAACTCGAATAATCCAAAAGGAGTACAAAAGGCTGTCTTAGCTTTGTCCTTCTCGGCAACAGGAACTTGATTGTAGCCGCTGACTAAATCGAGAGTAGAAAACCAATTGGCCCCGGACAGAGCGTCCAACGATTCTTCAATGCGTGGTAACGGAAAAGCATCTTTACGAGTCTTTTGATTTAATTGGCGGTAGTCCACGCAGAGGCGAAGGCTACCATCTTGCAAGACCACGACTTGCATAGGCTATAGGCCGGACTTTTCCGTCTTGTTCCTGTGATAGAACTGCCCCCAAGCCACTATGGCTAGCATCAACTTCCAGGATGAAAGGTAATGCGAAATTGGCATAAGCCAATACTGGAGTGGAGGTGAGTTTAGCTTTCAGTCCTTCAAAGCTCTGCTCACAGGCCTCTGTCCAGGCCGCAGCGAAGTCCCGTCCGGTCCTTTTCCGAGCCTTCGTACCAACCAACTCCGCTACTAACTTATGTAGGGGTGCGGCCATTTTCGCAAAGCCCTCCACAAAGCGACGGTAGTAGCTGGTGAAGCCAAGGAACGAACGCAGCTCCGCCACCTGGGTTGGACGTCGCCACTGGGCTACCGCTTCAATTTTCCCAGGATCCGTGGAGACGCCAGCGCTGGAGATCACATGTCCCAAATAGCCAACCTCCTGCTTAAAGAAGGTACATTTCTCCAGCTTGGCTTTGAGTCCTTCCTGTCCCAGTCGGCTTAACACTCCCTCTAATCGCTCCAGATGCTGTGAAATGGAAGAAGAGAAGACCACAACATCATCCAGGTAAAGTAACAGAGATTGGCAATGCTGTTCCCCAAACAAACGTTGCATGAGGCGCTGGAATGTGCTTGGGGCGTTGCAAAGGCCGAAAGGCATACGGTTAAACTCGAATAATCCAAAAGGAGTACAAAAGGCTGTCTTAGCTTTGTCCTTCTCGGCAACAGGAACTTGATTGTAGCCGCTGACTAAATCGAGAGTAGAAAACCAATTGGCCCCGGACAGAGCGTCCAACGATTCTTCAATGCGTGGTAACGGAAAAGCATCTTTACGAGTCTTTTGATTTAATTGGCGGTAGTCCACGCAGAGGCGAAGGCTACCATCTTTTTTCCGCACCAGAACAATGGGGGACGCATAGGGACTGCAGCTCTCCCTAATGATCTGCGCCTCAAGAAGTTGATTGATATGGGCTTTGACAACCTCATACTCAGATGGGGGCAACCGCCTATAACGTTGCCGGACAGGGACATCATCTAACAGGGGGATTTCATGGGATATAAGGCTGGTACAGCCCAAATCCCCCTCATGAGCTGAGAACACAGCCTGGTACTCAACCAGCAATGTCCTAACCCGTTGGGCCTCCTCCCTACTAAGATCGGATAAATCAAGGGCATCTATTTGGCTCCGAACTGAGCTGGGAGATGAACCAGCGACTCCCTCTAACACTCCCTCTAATCGCTCCAGATGCTGTGAAATGGAAGAAGAGAAGACCACAACATCATCCAGGTAAAGTAACAGAGATTGGCAATGCTGTTCCCCAAACAAACGTTGCATGAGGCGCTGGAATGTGCTTGGGGCGTTGCAAAGGCCGAAAGGCATACGGTTAAACTCGAATAATCCAAAAGGAGTACAAAAGGCTGTCTTAGCTTTGTCCTTCTCGGCAACAGGAACTTGATTGTAGCCGCTGACTAAATCGAGAGTAGAAAACCAATTGGCCCCGGACAGAGCGTCCAACGATTCTTCAATGCGTGGTAACGGAAAAGCATCTTTACGAGTCTTTTGATTTAATTGGCGGTATTCCACGCAGAGGCGAAGGCTACCATCTTTTTTCCGCACCAGAACAATGGGGGACGCATAGGGACTGCAGCTCTCCCTAATGATCTGCGCCTCAAGAAGTTGATTGATATGGGCTTTGACAACCTCATACTCAGATGGGGGCAACCGCCTATAACGTTGCCGGACAGGGACATCATCTAACAGGGGGATTTCATGGGATATAAGGCTGGTACAGCCCAAATCCCCCTCATGAGCTGAGAACACAGCCTGGTACTCAACCAGCAATGTCCTAACCCGTTGGGCCTCCTCCCTACTAAGATCGGATAAATCAAGGGCATCTATTTGGCTCCGAACTGAGCTGGGAGATGAACCAGCGACTTCAATAGCCCTCAACTCAGCTACGCCCTTAGGCAAACTGACCACATCCACCCCGTGCAAATAGCCTAACTGGGTACGAGCGTAAAGCAAGACATCGGAAGTGCCAACATTTACCACAGGAACGTAAACTGTACCCCCAAACACCTGGACTAACGAAGGAGATGCCAACAACCCACCAGGTAGGCCAGAGTCGAGAGGCTCAAATAAGGCGGTACTACCAGATAAGTGATCTGAACATGTTGCCCTGACAAACTTGGTCACACCCCCCGGAATACGCTGAACCCTCCCCTGACTTAGCTTAACAACATTCTTCACATCAGGGGGGGGCTCAACACCTGCCTGATAACACTGTTGCAAGGCTTGGAACACATGACCAGGTGCCTGAGACACGGTTGGTAACTCGAATAAAGCAGGCCCATGTTGAAAAAACAAAAGTTCGTAGCATTTGCTAATTACATTCATCCCAAGAACCCCTGGGACACTAGCACCACCAGGTGGGTCCTTTACTACAAGCACGCCACAACCAGGTATAACCCTACCACACAAGAAAACATCCAATTCTAGATAGCCCAAATAAGGAATAGCCAACCCATTAGCAGCCTTCAGCTGAAGCCAACGGCAAGCCTGTAAACTCCCTGTCTTAAAGTGTTGAAAAAAGAAACTCTCGGTAACTGTGGACACCATAGAACCGGTGTCCAATAAACAGGACACCTTATGTCCACCCATAAGAATGTCTATATGGGGGCAGGAGGACATTAAATTGGCTGCGGTACTCACGCTACCTACAACACAAGAGCCTATAAGGGCCCCACCCGAGCTGTGGCTCAACGGTTCGGTGGGCATTAGTTTTCCGACCCCTGTTGGGAGGGAAATGGTCCAGTACTAGAGGGGGAAGGTAAAGCTACAGAGTGAGACCGGGAGCGAAAAGGAACCCTTGCACCGTCACAATCCCTTGCAAAGTGCCCCGGACGCTGACATCTCCTACAAATTACAGGGCCATCACGGAGCGGTCTAACATGCCTCTGGTTGTTCTGAAGTAGAGCGATACTTTGGGTTAACTGATTAAGCTGATCTTGTTGTTGTTTCAGAATAGCTTTAAGATCCCCCAGTTCTGCTCCTAATGCACCATTACCCAACATGGTAGAGGAACCCCCCTGAACCCCATACTGAAGGCCATAGACAGATGGAACAGAGTGACTACGACCCCTATGCCCCCCAGGCAGGCCCTCCCGCTCCCACCTAATAGCTTCCCCTCTGACATCCAACAGGGTAACTGCTGGCTGGCGACGCACTAGTTGCTTTAACTCTCGGCGGAGTGAACAGTCGGAAACATACTCAATAAATTGGTCTCGTAATAGCACCTCAAAGTTCAACGTGCCCGCTGGTGCAACACGTTTTACCAGGTCCAAAAGACGCATCAGAGCCAAAGAAAACTCATGAAGACTCTCCCCCTCTTGCTGTTTCCTGGAAAAGAAAGCCTCCTGCAATGCAACATATGATTGACAACAGCCATATAGTTCTTGCAAGATCTTAATAATGATTTCCGGGTCTCCCCGCTCTGCATCTGAACGATATTTAATTTCATCCCTGGCCTCACCTTCTAAGTGATCAACCAAAAAAAAAGCTTGATCAACAGGAGCCAAATGACGGGCTCGCATACATGCACGTGCCTCCTCGACCCACTCGTCAATATTCATACCAGAGTTGCCTCGGAACATAGGGCACTTTCTATCCCGTGGGATAAGAACAAGTCTCTCCGTAGCAGTTATAGTACCTTCCGCAGCCATATTTGCAGATGGCCTTGCCGCAGTATTGTCACAAAGGGCCGGAATAGAATCCGTTGACCCAGTTGCCGCCGGCTCCTGGCGCAGACGTTCATTTTCGGCTCTTAGTTGTAGCACCATGTCTCTAAGTTGTATCAGTTCATCCTCCATGACTGAAAAACAGAACAAAAACAAAACAAAAAAAAACAACAAAGCAAAACTACACAGAGAAAACCCAGGGAAGGCGTTCGTTCAGAAGGGACCTCGATCAGTCCAGGGCTTGGGCGTCACCTCAGAGTCAGAGTCGGCTGCTGTTTTTCAATACTCAAAAAAAGAAAAGAAAAAAAGGAATTAACTTCAAACAAAATGATCAATATGAGATTACAGAATCCACGTCTCTGCTTTTACAATGCAACAATCCTGCCGACTACGCCAGTTTGTGACGAGGGCGGTATGATTTTTAGTCTAACTAAATCCAGATAGCACGGACTACGCCACCCTGGGAATTACACCCAAGGAAATATAAAAAGGACCCAGGTTCGTTGGTGCAGAGAAAAGACAGAGTCGCTTCATCCAATGAATGAATGGTTTTATTTAAAAGGAAAACATCCCACTAGCACCATTTGTTCGTAATATAAATCACTGGCAAGTTTATTATAACAATACAGAATATATCAAATGTTAAAAGAACATTCCTCCAGACCTCGCTGATCCTTAAATACTGAATCACATTAAACCAAACATAACAAACAAAACAATGTATGTACCGTCCCCACAAAATAAAAAACAAAGAAAATAATTACTACAAAAAGAATATAACTGCAAGGCTAAAGCTTACGTTAGGGGTGGCAAGCTAGCTGTAAACAATTGTGCTCTCAACCATTTATGTGTGCACGGCAAACTACATATGAAGAGGTGCTCAAACCCTGGTGCTTCAACCTCACGGCAAATGTGTTCACCCAGGTGACTAGCCTCCCCCTCGGCGCACTCAGCCTTGACTCGAAACAAAAAAAAAAAGAAACAAAAAGCAAGATTAGTAGGGAAGATACAAATACAAAATAATCACAGCAATCACATCAGACACACATATAATGGTTGACCAGATCAGGTGGTGCACAAATGATAAATAATCTGTCCTACCTCATCGGCAGTGAGGACCCCAAAATACTCAGTGGATGACCGTTAGATAGACACTAATATAACACCACACGGCACTAAGGCCCAAGTCACACTGATCAGTCCAACTCTATTACAGAAATAGAAAAATAAACCAAACCATAAAATGAACTCCAAAAACACACAGCGACTATTAAAGCCACGAAAACCTAACAAAATAATGGTTCACGAAAAAGAAAGGGAATAATCTAGTCTAAGAAAAACAGCAGCACGACCTGAATTAAACCACGTGGTACACTGCAAAACAAAACATAACAATCAGACGAGGATCTACTCCAATCAACAAATACAAAACATTCCTAAATCATACATACCACACGAGAATCACACACACATCACGGATCACGATGTCAGGATGCACTCACGAATGTTCCACTAAAACACACAATAACCCCCATTAAACTTGACTAACCCCATACAACCCACATCACAACAGATTGTGATCGCCGACATACCTCAAAGCTTTCTATGAGTGCTCGACGCAACTCCCAGGGTACGCAGCCGAACCGGTTACAGCGATCCTTCAAAAGATAAAACAGTCTAAACACTTTAGAACCACACAAAGTTGTGCATAACCTCCGTCGCTTACCTGGACTATAGTGAAACCGGAAGAGGGGCGGGTGTGACCAAGCCTACATTCTAGGGCTTCCTGTTTGAACCTTTAAATACGCTGGCCCCGATTACCTCATCCACCAATTCCCATATAAGGGCAATGACGTCAACAAAGGAAAGTGAAAATCCTCTACTGCTACACTAGCAAGTCTTATATTTCTGTAATTCACACAGATCAAACACAAATATGCTGCCTGAATAGATTGCTAGTTTAGTTTGAGTAGCCAGCTAGCAGTTCTCTTGGCAGTTTGCTGATAATCCGGTGTCTGAAGTAAAATGCTCGAAACATCTCCTGAGAAAAATCACATGGCCAACCTAGTCTTGGTTATTTAATTTAGATTTAGTCTTATTTTCCTTACCTTGTCATTCAAGGCCAGGGCACTTTATGTACATTTCTGGAACTTTTGCACGCTTCCACATCCCGCGCAACTAGGATCTCCCAGGAACACTCATTATATATCGCTGCGTACATTTATCCGTGTCACCTAGATGCGCATGCGCGAGCGGTGCGCGATCATGGTCGACTGACAACGAGATTAGCAGCTGAAGAAGTCGGCCGTTTTTTAAAATTGAATTATGTATTTAAAAGTAGCCGAATGGATTCATTTGGAGACTCCGAAATCGGCAGAGATAGGCAGGCAATGCAAAACAAAATCTTACATTGGGAAATAGTGGGGGGGGACATGTCCCCCCCACGTATAATGGCTCCTACGCCCCTGTCATATAGAGAAACTAGCTTATATCACTGATATATGACAATATTCATCAAATGTTAAAGGAAAGCAGAGACTTCAGTGTGTAACCAGCGCACAGAAAGCCTGTAGCTCGAATAGGATCAAATCAATGACATTACACACACTGATCCTTCTGGTTCTTACAATGTGATGACTGGTCTGTTCATGCGTGTGTGTGAAATGTGCAGCCGTTGTTACGACTAAGCACATCAACCTTCTGATCCATAACCAGAGATTAAAGAGGATATGATAGAACGGAAATTTCTCATTGATTTAAATACCTCGTGAAAATGTTTTATTTAAAATATAATATAATTAAGTAATTAACTTGGAATGAATGACTGAGCTCTGATTTGTTTGAATCAATTGAATCATTTGCTTGATGAACTGATTCAGTGATTCTCAGCGCCACTCTGGCGACTCCTGCTGGTCAGATCAGTGTAATTACAAGCAGAAACACGCAGGAAAACACCATAGACAGTAAAAGAAATGGACAGAGCCATCTCACTGGAACTCAGTTGAGACAGTTGAAGCCCATTTTTAGCGATTTTTGAGAACTTCCGTTCCTGACGCGCAGACTCAGACCGACTCAAACTAAGCTTGATGACGTGAGCAACCTGTCTGACAGACGTGAATCTTCTAGTAGCTGTGCGTGAAAATTGCCAACGTTAATCTTGCGAGTAGTATGAAGCTGCAGACTCGGAGACCAGCATCTACAGTCCCCCTGCACCCAGAGTCCCGCATTCTCAGACCCCTCGTTTTTCGAGACAGCGCCTCCTATCAAATTGTATCGGATAAACATGTGAAGAACATGTGAAGAACTTAAGCCAAAACGTGAGTAGGCTATCTTCAATTTTATTTAGCGAATCGTAGTAGCCTACTCGTTTGATTTATTTTTTAATAAAACTAATTTAGCTCATCGATACAACATATGAATAGTCCATTTAATATTTGTAAAGATAGTTTGTAACAAGAGCCGTTAATGTATGTTTTTTCGCCCTCTTCCCCCCGAAAATATTTTGATAGCTAACGTTAGCCTTTAACCTTGGACTTTTTGTAGATAGGCTATGTCATAAATGCTGCAGTGATTTTCACTGCCCATTTTGTGCCCCCATATATTTCAAACCCACAAAGTTGTCCAAAGTTCAAAAACATCTCAAGGGACACTTCATCAGAGCAGTGCAACATTAAGGTAACATTTGCAAACATCTTTTTTCTTTTTTTTTTCTTTTTTTTTGAAACATCATAAGACATGTGCTATCGGGCCTAAACTGTTCTTCCAGGGTACACCATACCTCGATGGAGTCGCCCCTGCCGAACCCAGGCAGCAACATATCATTTTATGATTCTGCAAAGCGACTTATAAATTAGTTTTTTTTAATGCAATTGAAGACGAAAAGTAAAGTCACGAACACAGTTTTTTCTTCCTTTTTTCTTTACAGCAAGATGGATGTTTAGGTGATCATTAAATAAAGTACAGAATTGTTTATTATTGGTGTTTTGTCTATTCTGATTTGTTTTGCTTCGCATTCAAAATATCAAAAAACAGATTTTGTAATGTTAGCATGGTAATGTAAATTAGACCATTATAGGTTGAACTGAAAGAAAAATTGGAATTGGAATAAAAAAAATATAAAAAAAACATTGTAGCAATATAATATCACATACTATTTTTCAGAAGATAGTTCAATCTGTAATTGTATCCCTTCCATCGCAATGAGTTTTTTTTTTTTTGGCACATGCATTAAGCAGGGAACGCAAATATTTATTGGATCATTTATTTGGAGACCGTAATATTGCATCCTATTGTTTTTAATTGCATTTGGATAAGCGTGCGCTGTACTCTGTGTGCGGGTGTTATACGATCTTTCGAACCGCAGGAGGCGCTGTGTTCGAAAAACAAGGGGGGCCTGAGAATGCGGGACTCTCGGTGGGGGACTGTAGATGTATGGAAGGCCGATTGCGTCACCGCGGCGCGATGAAGGCTGTCCCAATTCAATTCCGCATCCTTCGAAGGCCGTATTCGAAGGCCGGTTGCGTCATCACGGCGTGACGAAGGGTACCCTGATTCAAAAGCGACGCCAAATGCACCCTTCGTTTCCCCGTGAAAGGAAGGATACATAAATGGACACTTAGCGGCCTATCCTACCCTGATCCTACCCCATAATTCATTGCGCGCCGGTGACGACAGCATTTTTGGTGCAGCATTTGGTGTGTAGCCTACAGTTCAAATTCAAATGTTGGTGTTCAACTATGCCTTTTAAAACCGTTCATTTTTCGTTTTTCAATTACGGGTTAAAAAAATTAAAAACGAATGGATGCAAATTTACACAGACTATTAAACTAAAGATAGTTTAGTGATAGTTTTTTAGATTAAAGTCAATACATTAGTTTAAATATTTAATAATATAGGTAGCCTACTTTTGCGTCCATTTGTTTTCTTTTTTTTAACCCGTAATTGAAAAACTACAAATGAAAGGTTGTTGTATTTTTAAAAGCCAAAGTTGAACACCAAAATTTGAACTGTAGTAGGCTACACAAATGCTGCGCAAAAAAAAAAAAAAAAAAGACCTTTTGCCCCTTTATTAAACATTTAAAATATTCACAAATTACTATGGGACAAATGTCGATTTTACTGGTTTTCTAAGGCCAGATTAGAACCTGGAAATTATATTTTTCCCGCAATGCTGAATGAGAAGAGCCATGTCTCTGGAACCATGATTTATAGGCTAATGATAATAAATGTGTCTGAATAAATAACGAGGCATTTTAATTGTTCGTTTAAAAGTCAACATTTCAAGCTTTAGGCTAGGTATATTTTGCTTCAGTTCATTTATGAGACGCGCTCCAGTTCACGGAGATCATGAAAGCGCGACTGATTGTTTTATTTTATTTTACAAAAGCACAACGTTTTCTTGTTATGTGAGTTTGGACAAATAAAAGTAGTTGCGAATGATGTATTATTCTTTTCTGTATGACCAGAAATTATAGAGTATTTTTTAAGTTGCTTCCACTGTTGATGGGAAAATGCAAGTGTTCGCGGCCGCGCCTCCGTGCCATGCAGTGCGCGCTCACACTCCCACACACATTTGCGTCAAAATCTTGTGTTTATTTGTGATAATCTTAGCCCTGTATTATGACTGACATTTGACGAATTTCTTTGTTCCTTTTTTGGATAAAACCGCCTTCTAAATATGTAGCCTAAATGTAGGCTAATAATAATAATATTATTATCATTTGCGTTGAGTTCACTGAAGACAGTAATAATCATAAAATAATTTATGAATGTTTTATTTTTATATAACCTAACCTTGTGTTTGTGTTATATTTCTTTTTTATATGTGAAGTCTTTTTTTGCTTATTCTATTATACTGAGCTTTTTCCTCCTAAAAAAATGACTTTAAAGACAAGTGGCCTAAATGTCGTTTAGAAAATTCATGTATTTAACATCCTCAGTAAAATATAAAACATAAAAATGACAATAGCCAATTCTGGCTCCATAGCTGTTTACTCAATTATAACAAATGAATGATCAGGACGGCAGCTCCATCTCGCACTGTTGCTTGGCGCCATGGAGCGGTAATCGGGAACACCTGGATGCGCAATTAGGAAATCCTATGAAGGCTACAAGGTGCGTCCTTCGGAGGATGCAGTCTTCACATTGGGACACAGCTACAGATTTAGTAAAAATAGGCTAACGATTGCGTCATAACCACTCGACTCTCTGTCGCGCTGTACAGAAATGACCGTACAGACAGGAGGAGAAGCTCGCAGGCAATCGGGGGGACGCCCCGTCAAGGGAGAAGCCCATAGATAATGAGTCCATAAAAGCAACGGGATACTTACTCCTGCTCACTCACGCCAAAGAACTCTTTGCTCAAGTTCTGCTTCTCATTTCTTATTTGTGCATCCTCGTTTCCTTTCCTCGCTTCCTTTCCTCGCGTCTCAGCTCCACCCCCTGTAGGACACGAGGGAAGGCTGCAAGGAAAGAAAATGAGGACGGAGGAATTGAATGAAAGCTTTTTTATACATTGGAATTCTTGATCACTCGAGCGTCACTTCACTGCGTCATCAGCAGTGCTCAAAGGATCTGCCCTTATGTTGTTAAAGTTAGTTTATTTAAGACATTCATAATAAATAATAATAAAGCAAGATACCTTGTTGAAATATGTGAGTTGTGTGGTTTATGTAAACTACAAAAGTAAAGTATAAATTCAAATGTTTGTGACAGATGTGAAGGGGGAGGAGAATTGATACGTGCGTCATGTTTAGTCGATAAAACTCTTCAGCAAAGGGTACAACTGTGCATCCTCGCTCATAGCTCCTCTGGAAGCTTCCTCACTCCTCGATCCTCGCCTCCTCACTCCTCGATCCTCGCCTCCTCGTGGTGCAATTAGAGAATTGAGTTGTCCTTCAAGATGGCTGAGCTCGATTGGTTTCCGGGTCATAGGATGGAGGACGGAGGAGCGAGGAGACGAGGAGGGATATTGAGAAGCACCCTGTTTCTACGGGGCCATAGTGTAACATAGAAGGTAATGGAGCCCTTTATACATTGTCGTGTTTCTTTAGAAATAAATAATGGACAAATGGAGTCTAACCCCCTTGGAAAACACCTTTTACAAACAACTGCTAATGTTTCATTGAAGCTGTAATCCATTTATTGCAATTAACAAATCATACAACATTAAATATGAGGGATCTTTATAATACGTGATATTATATTAAATTGTAGGGTTTGTATTGTTTGTTTTATAGACAGCTTCATTAATCAGACCAATAAGAGACTTTTAAATACAACTCTTCCTTTTTATTATACAAATGTGTCATGAAATGTGTATAAATGCACATATAATGAAGGTAGGCCATAAAGACTTTCCAAGTCCGGGAAACAGGGCTCAAGTCTCGAGTCACTGGTGTCAAGTCATCCAATTTGGGACTCAAATTCAAGTCAAGTCAAAAGTCTTGCCTCGAGTCCACAACTCTGAGACGTGTAATGAAGCTTTGTTTACTGAGATCACATGACTTTGGCAGATTGATACACACACCGAATCAAATGATTTGCAAAAGTGAATGTGTGTTTGAAGTTTCAGCTCAAAATATCCCACAGATCACGTTTATACAATGTTGTAAATGCCCATTTTTGACTGGATAGAAAAACATGCAGTTTTCGTGCATGTGTCTTTAAATGCAAATGAGCTGCTGCTGCTCCGCCCCCTTTCCAGA